TGGCGCCGGAGCCCCGCGGGGGCCAAATGCCGCGCAACGTGGCTTGTGGCGGGTGGGGGGGGAGTTGAAGGGCTTCCCTGGACTGGGGGGGTCTGCACCTCCTTTTCTATCCTCTATCCTTAGCCCCCCCTCTCTACCTCTATCGGGCACACCCTCCCCCACTGTGCTTCATCCTGCACCCCTGGCCTGTGCCCCTCCTCCTGTACCTCCCCTTTGACACCCCCATCCTAAACCACAAGCCTGCACCCCCTGATCTGTACCCTCTGATCCCTGCTCCCCTCTGTCCTGTGTGCTTTCCCATCCTGCACCCCCCATTTGGCGCCCCCCATCCCCACCCCCCAGCTCCTCCATCCTGCCCCTGCTCCGTGGCACGTCAGCATCATCTGGGGCCCATCAGGCAGGACGTGAGGGGCGTCCTGGACTAGGGGCCCCTGTGGGTATGTCCCCCCCTGCCTTGCATGGTCTGGGTCCCCAGAGTGCCCCTGGCTGGGCAGAGTGTTGCCTGGGGAGGGGGATGCAGGGGCTGCCCCTGCCGAGGGGCCCCAGGTGGAGGGTCCAATGTCACTGTGATTGCTGCAGGACACGTGTCTGGGTGTCCTGTCATGGAGAAGCGTCTGCTCGGGCTCACGGTGCAGACATGGAGGGAGGTTTTGTAAGGTGTTGCCCTGGGGTGACCCTGCTTTGGCCAGAGTGGTGCTGGCAGGGGACAGTGCCCTCCCCAGGCACTGGTGCTGGTCAGGTTCCCGAGCTGCCCTGCTGGCCAGCAGCCAGTGCTGCTTCTGTGCTCGGCAGCAGTGAGGGTCCTTAATAACTTTTCCTCTCCTTGCTCTGGACAAAACCCATCTCGTGGAGGGTTTGTTCAACTCCCAATTTTACTCCCCTGAAGTTGCAACCCAGGAGCTCATAAAATAGCTGGGAAGCAGGGCTTGCTGGTGGCAGCACCTCAGAGGAGTGATGTGTGAATCAAACCCACACCATGTGGATCATGCCCGCACCACGTGGATCACTCCTGGCTGGACATGGGGTCCATGAGGGTTGAGCTGTCCCCATGCCCACTGTGGGCACGGAGGGGGTGGTCAGTGAAGCTGAATTGATCTGCCTTGTCCATGATCCCAGATCCTGTCCATCTATCAGTGTCACTTGGTGACTGGGCTCTGGGTTGGCACTGGGGGTGCGAGACTCTCCCCCCGCCAGGGATGAGCCCTGGGGTCTGGCTGGCACTGACCCCCCCGCAGCCG